CTCAGGAGGCTGAGGCAGGAGAATTGCCTGAACCCAGGAGGCGGAGGTTGCGGTGAGCCGAGATCACGCCATTGCACTTCAACCTGTGTAACATGAGTGAAACTCCGTCTCAAAAAAAAAAGGGCTAAGCATAATGACTCATGTCTGTAATTCCAGCACTTTGGAAGGCCAGGGTAGGTGGATTACTTGAGGCCAGTGGGTCCTTTGGTGTTTGCTTTGTAATAATTCACAGAGCTGTGTGTTTGTGATTACGCATTTTTTACATGTGTGCTATATTTTTCAATTAAAAAAACCTTAAAAAGATTGTTTTAAAAAACTAAAACAACTTCTAAAGGTGGTAAAGTGGACAGGCGCAGTGGCTCATGCCTGTAATTCACTTTGGGAGGTCAAGACAGGGGGATCAGTTGAGCTCAGGAGTTTGAGACCAATCTGAGCAACATGGTGAAACCCTGTCTCTACCAAAAATAAAAGAAAAAACAGAAAGAAAACTTCTAGCCACAACTCATGAATTACTTCATGACTTTGTACATTCTAACTTTATTTTATTTTAATTAATTAATTTATTTATTTTGAGATGGAGTCTTGCTCTGTTGCCAGACAGAGTGCAGTGGCGTGACCTCTGCTCACTGGAACCTCTGCCTCCCAGGTTCAAGTGATTGTCCTGCCTCAGCCTCCCAAGGAGCTGGGACTACAGGTGCATGCCACCATGCCTGGTTATTTTTTTGTATTTTTAGTAGAGACAGGGTCTCACAATGTTAGCCAGGATGGTCTCGATCTTCTGACCTCGTGATCCATCCACCTCGGCCTTCCAAAGTGTTGAAATTACAGGCTTGAGCCACTGTGCCAGGCCTATTTTATTTTATTTATTTATTTTTGAGATGGAATCTAACTCTGTCACCCAGGCTGCTGTGCAGTGGCATGATCTTAGCTCACTGCAGCCTTTACCTCCTGGGTTCAAAGCGATTCTCCTGCCTGAGCCTCCTGAGTACCTGGGATTATAGGCGCCTGCCACCCCACCCAGGTAATTTTAATATTTTTAGTAGAGATGGGGTTTCACCATACTGGACAGGCGGTCTAGAACTCCTGCCTCAAGTGATTCACCCGTCTGGACCTCTAAAAATGCTGAGATTATAGGTGTGAGCCACCATGCTGGCCAGTACCTTCTAATTTTAAATCCTATCAATATGTATTTTGGGTCTTAATGTTTCTAGATCTTTTCTTTCTTAGTAATTAAGTGCTTAAATACTACAGGTTAACAGTGGTGTGCTGAGACACCTTATACTGGCATTTGAGAGTTAATAGTGCACATCTCGGCTGGGTGCAGTGGCTCACATCTGTAATCCCAGCACTATGGGAGGCTGAGGTGGGCGGATCACTTGAGGTTAGGAGTTTGAGACCAGCCTGGACAGCATGGTGAAACTACATCTCTACTAAAAATACAAAAAAATTAGCTGGGCGTGATGGTGCATGCCTGTGTCCCAGCTACCTGGGAGGCCGAGGCAGGAGAATGGCTTTAACTTGGGAGGCGGAGGTTGCAGTGAGCTGAGATTATGCCATTGCACTCCAGCCTGGGCCACAGAGCAAGACTCCATCTCACAAAAGGAAAAAAAAATAATGGACGTCTCTTTCCAGCTCCATATATAGTGATGTCACATTGGTAGGTTCAGATTGGCCGTAGTGGGAGTAGTTATATCCTAGAAATGGGCAAAAGCTACAAATCAGGGTTTCCTCCACCTTTCTGGAAAGCTGGTTATTAAACATCTACTAGCATACTACTGTTCTATTGCCATACTGTGTGAGAAGCCTATAAAGAATATATTGTCTACTATAAATTTACTTATTTTTCTCATAATATAAATAGCACATAGTTACATGCTTAGATCCTGTTCAATAAAGATGAACTTCTTTGGGAAAGAAATTATTTATGTAAACATAATTTCGTCTGTTGAGAGGCAGGTTAACATAATGGCTCATTGTGAATTCAAACTGTTTTAGTTAGAATTTCAGCTCAAGTAGTCTTTAGTCATTTTAACTTCAGGTCGTTTTACTTCTGTGTGTCTTTCAATTTTATCTTTAAAATCAAGATATTAATAATACCTATTCAGAATGAGTTAGTATAAGTACAGTGTTTGGCATAGTGAGTACTTAATACATTTTGGTGGTGAATACGTCATATTGCTCTTTTGCAAATAACCATTTTTTTTTTTACACATTTGTCATAGACTGATAAATTCTTCAGTTGTGCTTTATCAGAATACTTAAAAGCTAAATTACTTGGAATCTTTTCAAGATGATACTTTATTTCATTATTTTATTTTTAGGTGATTCCTCCTAAGGAGTGGAAGCCAAGACAGTGCTATGATGACATTGATAATTTGCTCATTCCAGCACCAATTCAGCAGATGGTCACAGGGCAGTCAGGACTGTTCACTCAGTACAACATCCAGAAAAAAGCGATGACCGTAAAGGAGTTCAGGCAGCTGGCCAACAGTGGCAAGTGAGTAGAATCAGTTTGCTATTTCTGTTTCCTTCAAATATTTATGTAAATATGTTAAGAAACAAAGTAGACAGAGCTGTTTATCATGAAAAGCAGGAGTCTCCCATGCAGTGTCTTTCAACCTTCATTTAACCATTTCTGTCTTCTGTTCTTTAGGTGGTTGCCTGAACATTTAGCTTAGTGTAAAGAAAGAAATTGTTCTTCATTTTATTATCTCATTTATAGTGGCTATAAATGGAACTTCTTACCTTATAGTTGCCATGAGTTTTTGATTCTACATATGATTCATATCTGTTGGGTAATTTTTTTGGTGTGTGTTTGACAACATTTAATCCTTAAATGATTTTAGAAGATCAGTACTTTTAAAAGCAAACCTTGAGTGACTGGAAAGGCCACCATTGCATTAGTTATTTATTTCTGTGTAACGAATTATCCCAAATCTTAGCTGCTTAAACCAACCCATAATTTCTGAAGGTCAGGCATCTGAGAGTGGCTTAGCTAGGTGGTTCTGCCTCAGGGTCTTGTGAGGTTGCCATTAGGTTGTTGGCTGGGCTACAGTCATCTGAGCATTTAACTGTAATTAGAAGGTTCTCTTACAAGAGTGCTCCCCTTACATGGCTTTTGATGAGGTCCTCAGTTCCTTTTCAGATGGACTGCCCCTCATGTCATGGCAGCTGGCTTCTCCCAGAGCAAGAGATCTGAGAGCGATAGCAAGAAGGAAACCACATGTCTTTTCATGACCTGTTTCAGAAGTGACACACTGTCACACCTGCCGTGTT